GCAGCTGGAGCCTTCACCTCTGTGAGCACAGCCCAGTGCTGCCATTCCAACGTGGAAATCAGTTCCTTGCTTGAGACATGCACCCCAGTTTTGGAGGGAGAGGGGAGGTGCCATGTGGCTTGTGAATTTAATTCAGCTCCATGTTCCCTTCTTTACAGTCTTTATATTTAGGGTGTGCATTAGTAAAAATACTGTACAACCATTGTATGCTCAGTATGAACATTTTTGTCTTTCAGCTAAAGAGAGTGAAGACAAAGAGAACCTCCCAAAAAGGACTTCTGCTGGAGGATTCAAATTTACTTTTTCCCACTCTGCCAGCGCAGCTAATGGAGCAAATAGTACAAACAGTAAATCTGTAGCAGCTCAGACGTCACCAACAAACTCTAATGGCTCTTCATCAAAGAATGCAAACTTGACTACAGCAGTAACAGCCACTAAGGTGAGAGTAAAAGCAAAGCTTCTGTACTCCAGAAAAAGAAGGGATACGAGCTGTTCGTAAAATCCAAAACCTCTTAATGAAACCATTGATTGGACTATATTAAGTCTTATTCTGTCAGACCCTGCTACAAACCATATTTTACAGCTGCATAGTGCTTGTAAATTGTGGCAGCTGTAATCAAACCTGCATTTTCTGCATATGAAGTGACTCATTTCCAAATAATTGACTGTTGCAGTCATAACATAGTTAATTCTGTGCCCCAACATTTCTCATACTAGTTAATGATGTGGCATATGTAATACAGCCTTTTTTTTCTTAATCGTCTGAGTTGGTGGAACCACTGTCATGGAATCCATGGTCATGTTAAGCAGTCACACAAGGGAGGGGAGCTAGTTGAAACTTGAGTTCCTGGTGATATAAAGCTCTGTTAAATGTCCAGTTTCTGTTTCTGAACCATAAGCTCTTCAGATCATGCAAGTAGAAGGGAGTCATTTGTAGCGATTTCACGTAGTCATCCTAAAAACGGTGGTTTTATTTTTAAATTGGCAACTCAGACCCACAGCCTAGAAGAATGTTCATTGCGTAACTTTTAAAAAGGGAAGTGTAAATAGTGTTGGGAGCAAGATGGGGATTCTTGGGACTAAATTAAGGAAGTATTAAGCACCTCACAAAACCAATACTGAATAACTTGATGAACCATTTTAAATAATGAAAGACTATTTAAAATGATGTTAATGCTTTTCAGCTTCGCAAGACTTAGCCTTCAATTATGCCTTTTTCTCTTTCAGACAGTTCACCTTAGTTTGTTGCCTTTTGTTTCTCCTCCCATTTATTTCTAAGGGAACAGTGAGGTTTGGTTGGGCTAGTGGCCTAGTACCTATATCCCTCTAACCCTAGGCCCCATTTTTTTTTCTTTGCCATCCAGCACCATCACATTGATCCCTGAACTTCTTCCCTGGAACATTAGTCCTTTTTTATTTTTCTTCCTGGTCCTTTTACCATCTGGGATGGTTCACCATGACAGACAGACATGAGAGCATGTTTTTCTGTAGTTGACCGTGTGGCTACCTGAACCTCTGTAGCACTACAGGCCAGATGTTACCCCGGGACATGGGCAGCTTTCATTTTGGACAAATTCTCTAAGCATGATCGTAGTGGTCCTGAGTATTGTGTTGGCCCCATGTGATGGGGGGGACCAGAACAATCTATGCAAAACTATGCTCTTTCTTCTGATGGTGTCTGTTGTAATGGATGCTTCTTCTGGGATGCAGAGCTCATATTGATGATCATCATCATGTGCAGGGTTTCCGGACAAGGAAGAAGTGAAACTCCACATCGGTGTCCCGTAATTCAAGGTGGAAATCTTGGCCTTCATTGCATTCAGAGCTATCATGTGCAATTCATCTGTCTACTATGCTTTTGTGTTTCATATAAATAGCGTGGCAGAAGTGTTTCCCCTTTTGAATGAGGGAAGAGGTCACCTCTGGCTTTGGTGTATCCATCGCCAAATAAAACTTTCAGTTGAACACATCCTAGGCCTTCAGGACATCACGGCAGAAAGTCTCAGCAGAATCATCTCCCTGTGCCACAAGACTGGGTGGATTGTGGATGCATTTTTTTGAAATCGTGGTCAATAGGAAGTGCTGGTCCTTTTGTTCCAGGAGAAGGCCTTACAAGTCTGTGTTCCCTGTCCATTATGCTCCTGATTCCTTGGCTAGGAGGTTTGTACACCTCAGCCCCACCCACACCTCTGATCCCTCTGGTAGTCTTCAAAGTGTGGCAGTATTCCTGATAGCTCCTGCATGGTTGGCACAGTTCTGGGACTAGGACGAAGTTTTGCATTCTCTTCATCTCACAGCCTGGATGCTGGATGGCTCTTCACACGTTCTGTCCCAGTTGGGCCATCCTCATCCACAATAGGAGGGACTCTGCTAGCTGCACAGAATGGCTTTGATTTCCATCTGGTGCCACGTAGAAAATTCACTTTGAATGATTTTATCCCAAACGTTGTCCTGTTTCTTGGTGCTTAAGAACATGGACCCGTCTCTGTGTTTGGCATGCAGCTGCCAGCCATCCTGCCTCAGCTCTCTGCCAGTTGACAGCTGTTTCTTCTCATCTAGCCTACAGGTTTCTAAAGTGTTAGCTAAGGGTTTACCCAGTCCCCATGTGGGACCTAAATTTGGTTCTTAGCTCCCATTGAGCCCACCATTTGAGTGTATGGCAAAGTGCTGTCTGCTTCACCTGTCCAGGAAAAAAAAATCCTAGCACTGATTTCT